TTTCAAGGCGCATGGGCAAACTTTGGAATGAGCTACCAGGGCTTTACAAGAGCGTGGCGCCTGCAGCGCTCAAAAGAAAGCTGGAAGAAAAGAATCCAGACTTTCAAGGCGCATGGGCAAACTTTGGAATGAGCTACCAGGGCTTTACGAGAGCGTGGCGCCTGCAGCGCTCAAAAGAAAGCTGGAAGAAAAGAATCCAGACTTTCAAGGCGCATGGGCAAACTTTGGAATGAGCCCCACCGGGTCCGCGAAGGTGGGATGTTGGTTGGCCGGTTGTGAACCCAACTTGTGCTGGTGCGCACAGACGTCAGCAACGGTCGTTATATATATATAGCAAACTGCCAGCATCCGATAATCCCTACCTACCTGTTGAAAGGTGGTTCAACTCCGTTCTTGCCACCACTTTTGTAGGGCAGCCCGTAAGCATCGGGAGATTGGAACTCAGATACGTCGCCGAGCGAGTTTCTCCTCCCACCGAAGATGAGGCTTTTGTGCACCTCGTCTATTTGGAAGGCCAAAGCAGCGAAGCCACTGGGCTTCCTAGACGCCACGTTTTCTGGTCTCAAGGTGCGCGTCCAGGCGTGGCTTTTGCGCGCCTCCGGGCAAGCCAAAGGTGTTCTGGTGGATCTTGTTCACCACTTCCTGATGGAGGCGTGAATTTCTGGAAACAGACACGGCCTGTGCGAAATGCCGCTTGGGTCCCAGCCGAGTTCACGGCCTCTCTTTGCAAGAAGCCCAAGCCGAAATCTGCGCCACCAGAAACGGATTCTTTCCACATGCGCTCCCGGCTAGTGAAAATAGTGGCAACATGGTCGGTTCAACAGGCCTTTCTCCTATGCGGAGCGTTTCAAGTTTCGACTTCACTGCTTGGAAGAAAGCAGTCTAGAAGATTTCCCCTCCAGCCTTACGACCTTGCTCACCGGCAGAGAAATGAAACTTCCAAAGAAGCTGCGCAAAGCGCCTGCCCTCGGAGCAAAAGCGCCTTGATGCGATAGAACAAGCTGGCAGTAGCAGCCGTATTGGAAGTGACTACAAGGTCGTTCGCGTGGCAAGTGCAGTGCTGCGGTCGTGCCTGCTTGGTGACTGTGCTGTCGTTGTGGTGGTTTTCTCGTGACTGGCATTCAGCTTCATGGCATGCCCACGGGAATTTTCATGCTTTGCTGGCCTCCAGGCGGTTTTTCGTGGCTAATCGGAGAGTGAGCTTTTTGGGGCGGTCTGGTTCGCATACGGGGAGAGTCCCGCGAAAGTGTTTATATGTTTTTTGGCAGTTTGTCGTCGAAGGCGCAGCCCTTTGCGAACATTGATCGATGTGCAGATGCCATGAAACTTCACGCGCAGACTTTGCGGCAGGAAGCGCAATACGCCGTGAAGCTTGAGGCGAAGATTTCTTGGCACGCGCGCCTCAATGTGAGACCTCAGCTCACCTAGGTGTGTTCCCATACGGGTGCACAGTTTTAGGCGTGCTTTCATTGGTGCCTTTTCATGCGTGTGTGCTTTCACGTGTGCTGCGCGCGCACTCAAAATTACGTGTGTTCGCACGTGTGCTTCCGCGTGTGTTATCTCAAACGTGCGCCCAGGAAAGTATTCAACGCTCTGGACGTGGGCCTTTGAACATTTGGGCAAACCCTTTCTAACAATTACATCTGTCAATTTCAAGCAGTCAAGCAGGGCGTCTAACTGAACAATGACATTCATGGCAGGACCCCCAAACGAACAAAATTATGGAGGAGTCCACTTCAAGGAGAAGACCCTGGCAATATGCAACCCCATCCAACCCCACATTGAGACAATCAACAAAACCAAGAACCCAAATCCCTGATGCTCGTGGAGTTTCCCACTGTCCCAACCACCAATTCCAAATCATTTCCCGAGGAAACCAAAACTGCCCTTACGCCAAACATCATCACATCAACGACATTGAGCGGGGAAGCGGCAATGGCTGGGACAAAACCATGGGTGATTTCAAGTGAGCAGATCCAGCCGAACTAGAAGGTTCCAGGGGCAGAACACATAGACATAGACTTTTGGATCGGGTTTGAGTCAGCAAAGCGCAGCGTTGCAAGTTTCAGCATGGCAAGACAAAAAAGATGCCGATGCAACCAATTGCCACCCACGGATTTGGGGAGGAAGAAGAGCACTCCAAAACGCCATTTGTATCCGTGTCATAAACACGCAGGGAAAAATCCCAATGCAGGGTCGTGTCAGAGAGAAAACGTGACCTGCGACCAGTCTACAACGAATCTACTTGTAGAACACCATGCAAGGAGGCATCAAATTCATGTCAAGGCCCTCAGCGTCACCGTTACGCACCGTTCGATTTGTTCGGAGCGACCCAAACCATGGTTTCAAGTCATTCACCCATCACTTGGCGGCGCACCTTGGACCAGGAGGGTTGCGATGTGTGCCTTTTGCGCTGGGCGGTGCAAGAGATGGTCCACAGGCTGTGGGACGCATGGAGTCAAATTGGTGGACTAAACCAGAAACACCCCAAACAAAGATGATGACAAGGCCGCTGATCAACTTGACCATTTTCCATCTACCTTCTACATGAAAGCACATGTGTTGTGTTCGGTAGATCTTGTTTGGTGTTTGGTCAAATCATTTAGTACCGCGTGGATTTCTTCTTGGAACCGTTGCCGTGCCGTGAACAGGCTGGGTTGCCCTCCAGTATCCATTCAAGTAGGAACGTTGTTCAGCAAAGCATGGTAAGACATACTAGGACAAAGGTCCGATCAGAGAACATGGAACCTTTAAATGTCTTCCAGATGTGACATGCTGGTTCCTTAAGGGCTGCCCTCGTCGCCCCATGAAATCGCATTCTAGAATGAAAGACATAGCATCAAGAGACCAAGAACGCTACGATTGGGGCTGGCCTTACTACGAACGGAGCTGTCCGATAGCTACGAACGAGGCGAAACTGGCATCGCTACGAACGGAACCCGAACGCTATCCTTGTATGGAATGAAGTAAATCGTCCTTGACCATTGAATCCAACAAACTATGAGAATTCATGAAAAGCCAATTGGATTTGATTGGCTGCTAGCGTTCTTCTTCCCCCTGACCCGGGTTTCGCTCCGACCCGACCTGCGCGCCGTGAAGGTACGGCCTCGCGGAAGTTCCTGACTTCGCGCCCTGGCCCGCGCGTGGCTTGGAACGGTGGCCCCGTTGGGGGGGAAGAAGCGGGCGATCGTTGGGTCGGTGAAGATGGAGCGAAGGTGTCCCTGGTCCCTCCACTCCAGTCGTGATGAATTTGCTGTGAATTCGGGGAGTGAAAATATATCAACTGGTCCTTCACCCTGCGATGCTCTTCATTTGGGTGCATGAAAGGATGGAACCCATCGTTCTTGTTGTGTCTTTTTCCGCGCTGGTCACCGTTCCTGCTGGTGAAGTCCCCCCTCGGATTCGTTTCGGTCCCATGCGTTTCGAACGGTGTTCGGGTCCCATGCGTGTCCGTTTCTCGCAAATCCCAAGCAGTCAGTGTCCGATTTGGAGCCGAACTCAATGGATGCGGAGGAACTCTTGCGGAGGAACCGGGCGGAACTTGTAGATATATAGGTAGACCCAATAGAGTGTAGCTCAAATAGGCAGACCTGCCGGGCAAAGACCGGTGAAGATAGATCAGTCTACCCAGCCAGGTTGGAGGGGTCCCTATTCAAATATACAGCCATATGGGGATCCAAATCATTCGGCTTTTAGTAGACTTGTTCTTCGCCGTCAGGTGCACCCGTCATGAACAGTGCTGAGCAGTTGATATAACTAAGCAATCCGGATGCTATCATACTATGAACATGCGTTTTTGTACTTGGCCCAAGATGACTTTATGAACATTTGGGTGTCCGAGGTGTATAGATCAGCATCAATTGTGACAAGCCTCTCCTGTTCATGGTCGGGATGTTCATGGAGTGCAGGGGGTTACGGCAGCCGCGCAGATGATCTCGCGCTTGTAGGATCTCCTTTGGTTTGCAAAAGTTCATGTGTTGTTGAGTTGAAGGACCCACAACAGATTCAGACCGATCGATGAAAGAACCATTCTTTTACAAGCTTCGGCGCCAGATATAAACGGTGTAGCTGCCATGCTCTTTTCCAGCTCCTTTTTGTCAAAGCTCCTAAACGCTTCGCGTTGTCGCTCCACTTGTGCCGCCTGAAACCCGAGGTTTCTTGTTGCTTGAGACGTGGAAAGATCCGTACGAGACCGCAGAGGCCGCGGAGACCTGGCCGGACCAGACATCGGTCGTTTCGACAAGCCGGGACCAGAGCGGACCGACCGGAGCAGCGGACTTGGCTGGAGTCAGCGGAGCAAGTCCGCTTGAGCCCATGAGTTCAGCCAACGAGAGTTCCAGTCGGGAGAACCGACTGACTGAGTTCAGCCAACTGAGTCAGCTGCTCTTGAGCAGCTGCCGGAGATGACGTTTCTTCAACCACTGCCAAAGCCATGCAACAAGCAGGAGGGCTGAGGGGTAGAGGTGATATGTTCTGTTATTGTTTTCCACCAAAGCGGTGTTTTCAGGAAGTCTTTGTGTGCCGCATAACCATCTCTGGACGACTCCACTGCCCACCATGTGCCTCTCGAGTCGTAGTACGACTCTGTCGTCGCATTCTGTTGGGAACCCCATGTGGTTTCAATATTACACAACTTGTATATTTGATTTATATATATATATATATGTAGTAAGTTACATGATGTATTAGTTATGAATATAACATTAAACACCCTTAATACATAGGGTGTGATTAGCCATATATTCTGGCATGATCTACGAGAAATCCTCATGAGTGAGATTCCGCTGGGTTGAAATGAGCGTGTTTTGTATGTCATGTGAGCCATGTGTCATTCAGGAATGCTTTGGAGTTTGTTACATGTGTTATTTGGGTGCCCAAACGAACAAGAGCCCTATATCAAGTGATGACATGTTGAACTTGATTTATGTATTGGAGTGCCTCCTTATCTTCTCATGGTTTGACAAACAGTCTGGATTTGTATTCCTAGTGCAGGATGCTTCTCCCTGGATGCATGTTTGCAGATATTTGATATTGCTTGTTTGAGATGTTTCATTTTCAGATGAAGTGTCTTCTTCAGCCTTCACTATCCACTCTCAAGCAAATATGTACTAACCAGACGTGATGGAAGGTGGTCGAAGTCCTTTCATGGTCCCCAAACAGATAGAGACGTTCTCCAGAAGGGAGTTCTACTCGTCTATTTGAGGGCCACGTTAGTTTGACTGAGTTAGAAGGCTCTCACTGCAGGGTAAAACGACGACGGCGCGGCTCTTAGGAGCAAGTGGTTCAATTTGTACAGCCGTGCGAAGGGCACGTTGCCAAGCGAACCCGCAGACTGTCACAACTCCCAGCTATGGATTAAGGAAGAGGAAGACTCTGATCGTACTGGTTAGGAAGTGGTGATAAGTGGAGGCCATCGCTGTTAGGTTGGAGGCCATCGCTGGTTTTGGAGGACATTGCAATTAGAGATTCAGCCCTGCTGAAGAGTGGATT